AAAATGGTGGCACTCACACCTTTAATCCTAGCATTCCAGAGATAGAAATCCCTCTGGATCTCTGTGAGTTCAAGGCCACATTGGAAATAGCCAAGCATGGTGACACACGCCTTTAATCCCAGAAAGCCAGCCTTTAATCCCAGGGAGTGGTGGTAGAAAACAGAAAGATATATAAGGCGTGAGACCAGAAACTAGAAGCTTTTGGTTGGTTAAGCATTTGGCTGGTTAAGCATTCAGGCTTTTGAGCAGCAGTTCAGCTGAGAGCCATTGGGATGAAGACACAGAAGCTTCCAGTCTGAGGAAACAAGACCAGCTGAGGAACTGGTGAGGTGAGATAGCTGTGGCTTGTTCTGTCTCTCTGATCTACCAGCATGGACCCCCAATAACTGACGTCGGGTTTGATTTTGTTAATAAGAACTTTTAAGATTCATGCTACACTCTTTCTAAAATCTGCTTTCAAAGATATTCTCCAGCAACTCTTGTACGAATTTTTAATGGTTCACTTCTTTCCAATAGTATCAGTAACTAGTCAAATTAAAAAGGTTTTAACACTGAGCTGTGCCGGGAAAATTCATTTCTTCAAGTCCTGTCTCTAAGCAACTCAAAATGGGACATACTTTGTGAAAAGCAAACTGGAGATGATGTAATAAAGATTAAATAGTGTCCCCAGGGTAGAATTCACCCCTAATTGCAACAAGGCTACTATCCTGATGAGAAGAGGGAATTGGGGCTGGGTGTGGCTGCAATGGTTTTAATCTTTGCACTAGAGGGGCAGAGGCACATAGATTTCTATCAGTTTGGGGACAGACTGGTCAACATATGGAGTGACAAACCAGTCAGGTGGACTGGGATAGATTGGGAGGTGTAGCATTGTTGGATGAGGGTTGTCAATGGGGCTGACCTTTGAAAGTTCAAACTCCAATACCAGGCACTCTCCACTTCTCTAGCAGCCTGGCTCCTGTAGATCAGAAGGTAAGATCTCAGCTACTACTGAAGTGCCATACTCCCTAACCTAATGCCATGCTTCCTGCCATGATGGTCATTGACTTATGCTTTGATACTCTGAGTAAGCCCCCAGTTAAATGCTTTTCTTTTAGAACCTGCTTTAATCATGGTGTCTCTTCACAGCAGTGCAACAGGAACAAAGACAATGGACAAATACAGGAGGCTCACAGTGCCCTCTTGACCCCCCTCCCCAGATTCCAGCTCCACATGCCCTTACCTCTTTGGTCTGCAAACTGTCCCTCTGGGCAGGGACTGCAATCAAAGCAGCAGTGGGGGGCTCCCAGCCTGGGCACTTGGCTGAACCCTGGAAGGCAGCTTTCACTGCAGACAGAGGTGGGAACCTAGTAACAGTGAGCACAGTGTCACCAGGGACTCCAGGAATCAGATGCTTGACCTCAGCCTGAGAACCAGAACAGAAGAGTTTCCTCACAGCCCACTAGATGAGATAGGTGCCTGTCAGAAAAAAACATGTCTATCCCATCAGATGCCAGACTGGAGAAGTAACATTGAATGTAATAGAGGAAGGGCTACATCTGCCTTGCTTGGCTAAGGGATTCAAAAACCTAGCTAAACAGTTTAATGTGTTATCTTTCCATTCTCTCTGGGACTCCTACATCAACAATTGAAGATAAAGGGGCAGAAGAGAAGGCTCAGTGGTTAAAAGTGCAGGTTGCTCTTTCAGAAGAGCAGGGTTCAATATCAGGCACCCATGAAACAGCTCACACTGTAACTCCAGTTCTAGAGGATCCAATGTCCTCTTCTGGCCTGAACAGACACCAGGCACACATAACAGTACACAAAAATACATGCAGGGAAACATCCATATATGCAAAAAAAAAAACCTTTGAAAAGGATTTTAAGTATTGGCAGCCATTACAAAAACCCACAGCCTGGACATGATTTCCTTGATGCTCCTGGCTTTCAATTTCTTTCTCTGAAACTCTCCACAGCCTTGGAGCTGCATGATGCACTCCATGTCTAACTCAGAAGACATGATGGTCTCTCTTTTCTCCATCTACCTCTGTGAAGCTGTTAAGACTTACAGTTTGACTGCAGTGCTATTTTTCACTTACTCTAATAATAAAGTATCATCCAGCTTCAATAAGAGAAAAAAATTTAAGTACTGACTCCCTCAAAACACACACACACACACACACACACACACACACAATCATTTTGACACCACAATTGATCATCCTCTCCTTTACCTTGGACCTGCCAAGGATGACTCAGTTTTTTTTTAGCAGAGCTCTACTTCCGGGTAAGGATTATGAAGATGGAAGTGTGGCATGCTGACATCACTGCCACAACAGAAGACAGCAGAAAACCCTCCCATGATCAAGTCCATTGAAAGGTTCTTCAAAGAAGTCCTTGGAAGACATAGCATGTGTCTTCATGCTAGAGATTTCTAAGAAACCTAAGAAAGGGAATCTCATTCTCATGTGGAAAGCCTTAAGGCCACCATGGACTGGAGACGCCACCAGAACAACATTAGATAAAGTTGTAGAGGAGAGAACTCTATGTACACAGGTATTAGGCAGCTGAGGCATTTCTATGCACCACACTCCACAAATAGACATAACTATCTCAACACTGCTTCTAATTGTGATAGTAAATGTCAGGGCTTGAACCTCAAATGTTTCCCAAAGTCTCCTGTGTGGACCACTGGTTACCTAACAGTGGATATTTAAAGAATGACTGGATCTTGATGACTGGTGGTTTGAATATAATTGGCCCCCATAAGCTCATAGGGAGTGGCACTATTAGGAGATGTCACTTTTTGGAGTAGTTGTAGCCTTGTTGGAGGAAGTGTGTCATTACAGGGGTGGGTCTAGGGGTATTATAGATCCTCAGACCATGCCCAGTGACCCAGTTCATTTCCTGTTGCCAGTAGGTCAAGATATAGAACTTTCAGCACCTTCTCCAGCATCATGTCTGCATACAAGCCACAATGATGCACCAAGATGGTAATGGATGAAACCTCTGAAAATGTAAGCCACCCCAATTAAATGTTTTTCCTTTATAAGAGATGTCATGGTCATGGTGTCTCTTCACAGCAATAGAAAGCCTAATAAGATGGAAGTTGATTGCTGGGACTAGGGTATTGAAGTGATAGGCCTGATCATGTTATTGTTTGAATAAATATGGACCATGGAACAATGGATTAGAAAGTTAGAAAAGCAGTAGAAAGATTTAAGTGCTGCTTAATGGGCCATCTAGTAGGAGCATAGAAGACTGAGGTGCTAAGTGTGATTAGATGAATTGTGGGTCTGGCTCAAGAAGTTTCAGAAGAGAAGAATACTAATGTGTGGCCTAGAGATTGTTCTTGTGATATATAGGTGAAGAATGTGGTTGCTTTTTGCTCTTGTCCAAAGAGTCTGCCTGAGGCTAAAGTGAAGAGTTTTGGATTCATTCCATTGTCAGAAAAAATTGCAAAATAACCTGATATAGACTGTGCCGTGTGGTTGTTAGTGTTAACTCTACGAAAGATTTATAATGAAAAGGAACAAGCTAAGCAAGGAAAAACATGAAATGTAAAGTTTGAGGAGAAAAGGAACACCAGAACCTGGAATGGAGCTAAGTCCTGTGTTCAAGCTGATAAACAGATTAAGAAATGGAATAAAGGGATTGGTGACCACAGGGCAAGATCCTTCTCAGCTAAATTTCCAACTTGTAAAAAGGAATTAGAGAGAAGCTTAAAGTCAGATATGGTGGTGCAAAACTTTAGTCCCAGAGCTCAGAAGGCAGATGCAGGTGGATCTCCGACTTTGAGGCCAGCCTAGACTACAGATCCAGTTTCAGGACAGCCTAGGTTAGGTAGTGAAGGAAAACATCAAAAACAAAAAGCTGATAAAGATATAATTGAATGAGAGGTCCATGTTACAGCCCCAAAAGCAACAGAACTTGGCAGTCTGGCTACATGGTTCTGGCTCTTAGGCTAGAAGAAAAGGGTTATGGAAATTGCCTCTGAGACTCTGGAAAGCTGCTGAGGCAAGGCATGTGTCCTGGGAATCTCTAAATGGAGGCCTAGAGAGGCCATTGCATGAAGCTTTGAAGGTAAGGCCTGAACTGCCTTGAAGACCCCAAGATGTTGGAAATGCCAGAGCCGTGGGACACCTGCTGTTGAGAGCTACGAACAGGAAGTAGAACCAGCAAAACAATGAGAAGTGTGATGCAGTTAACATAGAGGAAAGAGTTGGAGGTCTGAGGATTGTATTAACGACTGACATAAATATGCAGAGTTTAGAGTTTTCCCACCTGGTCATCTGTCCTGCTTTGGTCCACTATTTCCTCACTATGCTCCCTTTATACATTTGGAGCAATAATGTACATCCTGTGCCATTATATGTTGGAAGAGTATGATCTGTTTTTTTACTTTGATTTTATAGGGGATTATAGTTAAGAGACTGCATGAATCTCAAAAGAGACTTTGAAATTGGACATTTAAACATTGTTTCAACTATGATAGACAGTGAGAACTTTGGAAATTGGACTCAAAACACTTGCATTATGATAATTTTACAAGCATTGAGGGTTAGGGAGTGAAATTTGGTGGTCTGAACATAATAGGCCTCTATAAGCTCATAGGAAGTGACACTATTAGGAGATGTGGCTTTGTTGGAGTAGGTGTGGCCTTTTGGAGGAAGTGTGACACTAGAGATGGACTTTAAGGTCTCATCTATGCTCAAGCCACACCCAGTGACCCAGTTCACTTCCTGTTGCCTAAGATCAAGATACTCTTGGCTCCTTCTCTAGCACCAATTGTGCCTGCATGCCACGATGTCCCATAAGGATGATAAGGGACCAAATAAACCTGGGAAAATGTAAGCCACCTCAATAAATGCTTTTACTTAATGAGAGATACCGTGGTCATGATGTCTCCTAACAGCAATAGAAACCCTAAGCAAGACAATGCCTCTGACATAATCAATGGATTAATCCGCAGTGGATTAATAAACTGACTAATTATTCTATGCATTGGAAATAGAACATGGGACCTAGTTAGGATTAGTGGGACACTGGGGCTATGCACTGGTAAGATGTAACTTGTTTACCTATCTAATCTGTCTGGCTCCCTACCTTCCCTACCTGTGCACCATGAACTGAGCAACCTCTTCCACCACACATGCCTGCTGCCATGCATGACATACTGCCTCAAGCACACACACACACACACACACACACACACACACACACACACACACACACACAGCAATGGATACATCTGAAAGTGAATCTCTCAAACCAGGAGACAATTAAAACGTTTCCTCACTTCAAACTGTGTCTCAGATATTTGTCAGAGTGGGTGAAAAAATATTAACACAACGAGTACACTGAGTGTCTGTTGAGTCCACTTTCCAGATGGACCATGGGAAGGTTTTTAAATTAATGTGTCACCATCTTTCTCTTCTCAGACAGGTCCTGAACAGAGACACTGAAAATACTTCCAAGGGAGCACCAGCTGCAGATTCTCATTCTATTTGTAGGTCTTTTATTTTCTATCCAACCCTATTTTTATGTGTGTATATGGCATAAACATGTGTACATGCACTTGTAAATCCATGTGGGATCATGTTCATGTACAGACAAGTACATGTGGAGGCCCAAGGTTAAAGTTGGGAATCATCCTCAACTGCTTTTCCACTATGCTCATTAAGGCAGAGGCTCAAAGTAAAACCCAGACTTCACTGATATGGCTCCTCTTACTCGCTAGTTAGCTTTGTGCATCTCCTTGTCTCCACCTTCCAAGACTGAAATTGCAGGTGGACCATACTGCCCACTCATCATGTACAAGTGTTCTGGAAATCCAAAGTCTGGTTCTTGTACTTGCATACAAAATACTTTAACCACTGAGACATCTCCCGATTCCAGGTTTGTATTTTCATTTTTGCTGGTGAATCAAGTACATCCAGAGAAAGATCTCTTAGGAGGTAAACAGCATAGCCAGCTATCCCTGACTGGCCCAATCTAGGGCTACATCTACTTCATGCACAAATGGAGATGAGGAATCCTGGACTTGGATTTTCCCTCTGATTTTAACAGACTCGGACAAGAGTCATCTCTGCATTCAGGCAACTCACGTGAAGATCCTCCATCAAATGGAACTTCATTTTGCTCCCCAAAGAGACTTGAGGGTCTATCATGCCTATATGGACCAAGTGAAATACACCCTCAGGGGTCTTCTGTCCTTGGAGAATGTCAAATTTTGTCACCAAATCTCCATTAGCATCAAATATAATTTCACTTCCATCAGGAGTCTTGAAGTGCACCTTCCTGAGGGCTTGAAGCAGCTGAAAACAGAAGGGAAACATTATACACCAGCCAGGGCAGGTCTGGAGTCTTGTCCAAAATAGCACATATCATTCACCTCTGCAATAATACAGAGTCACTTCAACTATGGACTGGCCCCATTGTGCATGAGAAAGATCAAGGACCTGTAATATTTTCAGGGACTCACAAATACGTTTTAGCTTTAATGAAGTAATAATACATAATACTTAATCCAGATAATTTTTAAACTAGTACAGTGTGTATGTATGTTGTGTGTGTGTGTTGTGTGTGTGTGTGTGTGTGTGTGTGTGTGTGTGTGTGTGTGTGTGTAGCTCACTCATACTGAGTAATCCAGAGAACAACTCTCAGGAATGTTCTCTCCTGCTGTCTTGTGGGACTCAGGAATACAACTTATACTTGTGGACAAGTACCATTACCCACTGAGTCACCTCAACAGCCTTAAAACTAAACCCAAAAACATGACAGTGTGGTTCCTGCTCCAGGGTCTCATTTGGCTGTGCACTACTGTCCTCAGTCTTCCCATCACACTCAGTAGACTCCAAATCCTAGCAGGACTTCCAAGGACTTCCCCAGCCCACCTAGACCACCCATTCACTCCAAACAGTCTCCCATTATTCATCAGTCCCACCCTTGGTGCTCTTCTATTTGCTCCATTCTAGGGTCTTGACAGATGCTGTCCCTGCCATCTGCAATGCTATCACTTCTGCCCGTAGTGAGACTTCTCACACTCTTGTCTGGAACTCAGATATTTCCATACAAAGACAGCTTTTCCTGCCTTTCACTTCCCTTCACCTGCTCCTCACTCAACCTACCTAATATCTTCATCACAGAGTACACACAGACATTTCAACACTCACGTATTTTAATTTTGTGGCAGAATCTTGTTTTGTAGTCCATGTTGGCCTCAATATCGTGTGTGCTAGGAGGCCAGGGTTGGAGGCCCATGCCTGTCATGGGCCTCCAAGCTTGGCTCCTGTAAATTTTAACCTGTCACTCACAGCCAAAATGCCAACAACTATCACTCATTTCTGGTTTACAACCATATGTATCTTCACCAGGCACACAGAAGAAACTCGAGTCATCTGAGTTTCGGTAATGAAAACTTACCCCCTCCTTGGCTATGATTCTCACTGTTTACCTCATCAGTGAGCAACATGTCTCCCAGAGGTCCTCTTACCAATCATGACCTTGGCTACCCTGAGTGGCTAAAAGGAGATAAACAGATGTATGTATGTATGTATGTATGGATGGATGGATGGATGGATGGATGAATGGAAGGATGGAAGGAAGGATGGAATGATGGATGAATAGACAGACAGACAAACATAAGACAGATTGACAGACATATAAAGACTCAGGGCGAAATGACCAAAATAGATAGATAAACATATGAAATTATCAATATTTCTAAAATAGAAAAATAAGTAAGGGAATAGGAGATGGCCCTGAGATTAAATTACAAGATATAAACACTTAAGGATCAGACTCCAAATCTGAACCCACATAAATGTCAAGTGGATGTGGGAGCCAATCTCTACTTACATTCGCATAAGGTTGAGACAGGAGATGCCCAGTACAACCTGTCTAACAAGACTAGCCATATCAACATGTTCTGGGTTTCAGTGAAAGATCCCACCACAAAGTAAGATAGAAGAGGATTGAAAGGTGATTCCTCATCATCCTCAGACCTTCCCACATGTTGTACATATGAGTGTGCTCCCCACCACATGTGTCTCCATGCCCACACACATGTGCCCACATACATGTACAATATACCAAAAAATGAAAAACAAATAAATGGCATTTGATATATATTTAAAATTCTGCTTTGAAGCATGCCTATACTAAAAGTCATCCACTGTTTACCAAAGCTTAAATTTGTGACACTAAACAATCTAATTATTGTTATGTGAAATATTAATTTTACTAGGCATCCTGTATGTGCTAAGTTATACAAGCCACAGGGCCAGGACTCATCTGAGATCACACACCTAGCATGGAATCCTTGTACATTGTTTCTTCTAAGATGTATCTCAGCTAAAATTATGAGGCATCCTTGCTGAGGCATGCAGTCAGTTTCACCTCTATAGCCTAGTTGGAACCAATGTCCTCTTCCCCAACCATCCCTGAATCACTCACTCCACACATGCCTCTCACCTGCCAGGGCTGGAAGTCCTGAGAGTCTGTAACTTTCCCATGCTGGTGCCCATGGGTTATCATGTCTTGCAGGGCATGAGCAATGCTGTAGACAGCTGTGTAAGCAGCATCAATTTTACTCACTTCTGGGAGAGGGTACTGCTTGTTTTTCAGACTCTCATTCCCTGAGCACAGCTGGACACCCTCTGTCACTGTGCTGCTCTGGTGGGGCCATGTACAATCAAAGGTGAACTCCCAGAACTTCTTTATAAACATGTCTTCTGGGGTCTGGCTGGGGCGCAGGTGAGCAAGGAACTCAGGGAACCCAATTGCCCTGCTGCTGTGATACAGAAGGCCAAATGTGCTGTGCAAAACCTGGGATACTCCTGGAATGTTTAGTGCCAGCGCCATGTGCAGAGCGCCCTTGCTGACCCAGACCTGGCCTGAAACAGGGACATCCAGTAAGCCATACAGGATGAGCTGGAAATTAGAATTGCTTAGGAAAACCAGAACAACCCTGGCTGTGGATTTTTGCATCTTCTGGACAATCTCTTCAATCTTCCCCATGGACTCATGGGAAGGAACATGGAAAGTGAAATCAATGCACACACCAGCTGTACTCAGCTTCTGAGTGGCCAGAGAGCTGGCCTGCTGCCCAAAGTCATCATCATGGGCCAGAATGATCACCCAGGACCACTGAAAGTGAATTATCAGCAGGGTCACTGCAAGGGAGGATATGAGGTCACTAGTCAGCGTCCGCAGGAAAGATGGGAACTGGATCTTGTCACTGAGGCTGGGTAGTGAGGATGAGTAACTGACCTGTCAAGGAAGAGCCAGGATAGAAGAGTGGATGAGATGTGAACTTAGGCGTGGGCTGATGATCTGGTTTAAATGTGGGAAGGAAAGGATGGAGACATGACTCAGTAGATAAGAGCCCTGGTTGTTCTTTCAGAGGACCCATGTTCAATTCCCAACACACACCTCAGGGTGCTCACATTTGCCTCTAACTCCAGCTCCAGGAAATCTGATAATCTCTTCTGGCTTCCTCCTACATCTATAGCATAGACTCACACAGACATATCCACACACATAAGAGTGTATTAAATTTTAAAACATAAATAATTTTCAGGGAAGGACTTGTGCATCCTTATTTGAGAATTGTGCTGGTTCTACAAGCAGCTGTGTGTCCCTCACTGGCTGATCATTCCTGACACAGGCCTGTGGCTTCTGCAATGAAGCCCAGAACCATAGCTTTACCTCCTCTGCTCTCAACATCTGTCCTTCACCTGCCCCCCAATATTTCATTCTTGCACCTCAGCTTGGATTGGTCTGACTCTGCTTTGCACACAGCTGTTATGTTGTTCTTTTGATATTTCATGGGGGGGTTGGGAGGTTGGGATAATACATCAGTAAAGGTCCGAAGACACATTGTGGGAACTCTACTTCTATCACGTGGGTCCTAGAGGTCCAATCTCAAGTCACATGGCTTGGCTAGCAGCTTTACCCCATCAGCCATCTCACTCTCTCTGGTATGAAACAATCAGTTCCTGGCAGGAACCAACCTGCAAGAATAACAATCGGCTCTTATCACACCACCATTGTGAGATTTTCCAGTTTTCAGACAAATAGGAGTCTGATTTGACATGTTGTCAAGGAAGAGATGGTACCATGTTCTCAAAAGAGAGAGTTCTTGGAGATGTGACAAGTGGGGAACCTGTGTCTGTGTTTGTTTTGAGGGGCTCAGAATGTGGCTGCTCAGCCTCAGAGTATGAGTGCAAACCCTTCTCCGGCCTCTACAAGATCTGTAAAAGTTTTATTGTCTTAAAACAGAAGCCCTAGCATCATGTTGGTCATATGGAGGAATAAGGCTGACTCAATCTCATGCAGGTGGTCCTGCCAGGCTCTCCAATAAAATAGAAGATATCCAGATCAGTTTGGTTACAGACAATGATCATTTTTATAAGCTTATCCAATTACACATTATTAACTAATGACAAATTATAGTTTAATGGAAATATTGGGATAAAATTTGACTATAAATAATTCATTGTTTCCTTGATATTAAAGTTTTTATTATTTTCCAAGCATGAATGTTTTGATTATATGTATGATTATGCACCACATGAGTGTCTGGTGCCCTTGGAGAACAGAAGGAGTCCTATTGCTGGAAATGGAACTACAGGTGACTGTGAGTCCCCATGTGGGTGCTAGGAATTGAATTTGGATCCACTAGAAGAGCAGCCAGTGAATACTCTTAACCTCTGAACTATCTCTCCAGTTCCTGAAATTCAAATTTAACTAATTCTTATCGGGCAGCTCAACAAGTTCGAAAACCAGATGTTCTTGAGGTATGTTCAATATATCAAGTTTCTGTTCTAGTCATGATAGTGCACAGCACTTAGGAATTAGAGAAAAAAGGAACGAGAGCTCCAGAGCAGCCAGAGTTACATGGAGAGTTGCTGTCTCCACACAAACACACACACACCACCACCACCACCACCACCACCACCACCACCACCACCACCACCACCACCACCAATAACACTAATGAATTTTCTGTTGTGTATGTCATCATACCCAGAGTAAGAAATGAAGTTTCTAATCATTAAAATATCCCTAAATGAGATGGGATGGAGAGATGCCTCGGTGGTTAAAAGCACTGTTTTCAAAAATCATAAGGATAGGAGCTCAGATCCCAGTACCCACATAACAAGTTTGATGTCCCTTTCATGGCTGTAACCTCAGCTCCAAGAAGGGTGCACATAGGAGGCTAGATGGAACTCACTTGCTTTAAGCCTAGCCAAGGAAACATGGGCCCTAGGTTAAGGGAGAGAGTCTGCCTCAAAGTGATAGGTGGAGAGTAATGAAGTAGGCCACCAGATGGCCTCTAATGGCCTCCACACCTATGCAGAGCTTCATACACTTGCACACACACAAACAGGCACACACCCACACACACAGACACTCATGCATGCACATAGATGTAGATAGAAGGAGAGACAGAAAGAGAGAGACAGAGAGAGAGGCATACACTCATGGAAACATACACATACATGTATTATGCTATAATTTCAAAAAAAATAATCCTGCCTTACAGTGGGGCATGGTGAAACACACCTGTAATGTAACATTTGGGAGGCTGGGGCATGAGAATGTTATCTGCAATTTCAAGGCCAGCCTGTTCTACATAGTGAGTTCTAAGCCAGCTAGGTCTTCAGGGTAAGAATCTGTGTCTCAAGAAACAAAATTACAAACTTTACAGAAACCTCAAGTTCAGAAGCACTTTAGTGAGAATCTACCCAAAAGTGGTGATAGATAAGTCCTTGAATACAGTTCTGTGGATTACACCATCCAGTTTCAAGGGACAGGGGAGAAAGCCCATCTCAAAAAAAATTAACAAATGTGAGACATTCAAAGAGACTGGAATTTACTCAAATTTAGAGACTTCATAGCGAAAAGCAAATGCATTTAAATCAGGATCTTTACACAATGTGTATGTTAATGTGAAATTTAAATATATATATACATTTGTATATATACATATGTGTACATATACATATATATACATATATGTGTGTGTGTGTATATATATACATACATTGAGAAGGGGTCTCAACTAGCCAAGGCTAGCCTCAATCTCACTATATAGCTAAGGATAACATGGGACACTCCTGTTATATGGAGATCCTCCAGAACTCCTGTTCCACCTCCTGACTACTATATTACAGGAACACTAGAGTTTAGAACCTGGGCCTTGTGTGTGCTAGGCAAGTGCTCTAGCAAGAGAGCCACATCCCAGTTCTTGAAGTGACTATTATGGTTTGAATCTAATATGTTACAGGAAGGTTCACATGTGGGGACTTGGTTTCCAGTAGATGGGCTTCTAGGAAGTGACTGGATCCTGAGGGCTCTGACCTGATCAACGGTTAGTCCTTTAATGGAGTCATAGTGGTGGCATTTTATAGACCCGATGGAAAGTAGGTGGGTGGATCCAGATCTCTGGAGCTGTGTCCAGGTGGATGTCTGTGTCTCCCACACCCTATGTCTCTGCTTCCTGACCACTGGGGTGTCTGTCCCACTACACACTTCTGCCATGAAGCTCTGGATTACCACAGGCCCAGAAACAATGGCATCAGATCACAAAAGTGTGAAACTTCAGAAACTAAGCCAGAATAAATCTTTCCTCTGTTAAGCTGTTTCTCTCAGGTATGTCTGTCTCAGCAAGGAAAAGCTAATTAACAGTTTAGTGGTTGATTAAATAGTTCAACAGAATTGCCATTTGACCCAGCAATTCTATCTACATTCCTATGATAACCAAAATTATATGGACAGAAAAAATCCTATACTCAAATATTCATAGAAACAACACGAATGAGAGCTCTAAAGAAGAACCAGCTCTAGTAGTGATTGCTCATTGGTGTGAGAGAAATATCTGACAAAAAGCAATTTTAATGAGGAAGGGTAGTTTTAGGCTCATGGTTTGAAAAACTACAATCAATTAATTGTGACAGTTCTAAAAAAAAAAAAAGTACAATCCATGTGACAGTGTACACACGGCAGCAGATGGCGCCATAGAGGTAGATGTGGACCTGGGAATCCTCATTCTTCATGGAACAGGAAGCAAAAAACACACAGGAAGTGGGACCATAGTATTAAACCCTAAGGCCCATCCATGTGCACTGTCCAGGCTACTCAAGGTTGCATAACCTTCCAATACAGGCCCACAGCTGGGGGTGAGGGCTAAGTTTTCAAACACATGAGCGTATTTCATAATTAAAGGTATATGAACTGATAAATGGGTAAGCAAAACATGGTCTTTGCATACAAATGATTATAATTATTCATAAGGAAAGAAATGCTGGCTCTTGTTACAACATGGATGAACCTTGGAGACATGCTCAGTGAAAGAGGCCAGGCCAGATAGCTGCTGAGAGTGTGATTCAGTCATCTGAAAGGACCAAAAAGGTCAAATCCACAGAGACAGAAAAGAGAATAGAGGTTGTCTCTGGTAGGAATGATGGGATGTGGTACTAATTGGTTTGAAGGGGATAGCTCTTTGCAGGAAGATGAAAACGTTCTTAAATCAATTGTGATAATCACACTAAGATAAAAGCATTGAATTGTTCAACTTAAATGGAGAAATTATCCTCAAGTCACCTCTTAAACCTATGAACTGAAGAGACGATTGTCATATATGGCCAACCTTGAGGGAATGACACTGATGGCTGGGTTACCAGGAACATCCAGAGGGTAGATGGGAGCAAGTGGCATGAGCCCAATTGCCTAGACTCAAATCCCAGCTCTAGTACCTACAGCCAGGAGAGCTTACTCTTAAGTTGTGCTTTTGGCTTTGTTGGTTGGTTTGTTTTCTCTGTGGACTGGGAAGATGTCTCTGCAGGTAAAGGTGTTTGACACCAAGCCT